TAAAAGTATATGTATAAACATAATTATTTTATTGAACATAATTTATTTAAAATAAACTATTTACTAGCAAAATAAAAAAAAATCACTTTTGGCGACTGAAAATATTTTTTAGTCGCCAATTCTATATTTTTGGCTACTAATTATTTTTTAATTGCTAAAAAACTTAACTTTTGTCGACCAAAATCGGATTTGATCGCCGAAGATGCACTTTCAGCTACCAAAATTTTGGTTGCCAAAAAATTTAATTCCCGCCTTAGGATTTTAGTTCTCCCGCACTAAAAATGATCATTTTTGGTGACTAAACTTATTTTTTAGTTGCCAATTGTAGACTTTTGGCTACTAAAATTTTTTTAGTCACCAAAAAGCTTTACTTTTGGCTACTAAAATTTTTTAAGTCGGTAAAACCCATATAATCAGCAATCAAACTTATTTTTTAGTCGCCAATTGTAGACTTTTGGCTACTAAATTTTTTTAGTCGCCAAAAAGCTTTTCTTTAGGCTACAAAAAAATTTTTAGTCACTAAAACCCATATAATCAGCGACCAAACTTAGTTTTAGTTGCCAATTGTAAACTTTTGGCTACAAAAATTGTTTAGTCGCTAAAAAGCTTTACTTTTGGCTACTAATGTTGTTTTGGTCGCTGAAAGCTATACTTTTAGCGACCAAATTTTTTTTTTTAGGAAATTTAGTCGCCGAATGTGCTTTTTCCTATAGTGTATAGTTTAATTTATTTATTTTTAATCATTTACTACATTTTAAAAATTTAGAAAATATATTGGCATTTTTTGTTTTTTCAAAAATGTCATTATAAGCTTGGAAAGTTTTTGGCTTAGTGACATTTCTCAAAATGCTATAAAATATTTGTTTATGACAGTTTTCACCTAAGTGCCATAAAAAGTTATTTACACCTACGTAGTGTTCTGACATTTTTTAAAAAATGACATTGCTACTAAAGTTTAGTGGCATCTGTTGGTAAATGTCACGATCATAATTTTTTGTGTCATTATTTTATAAAATGCCATAAAATTGATGTGACATTTATTTATTGAAATGCCACTAGAGCCTTATATGTTTTGTGGTTCTATGGCATTTTTCTAAAGCATTTAATGCCAATTTTTATTTTTGTGACATTTTCTAAAAACATGCCACTAGTGTAGTGTCACTAAAGTGTAAATTTGTTGTAGTGACATTTTTGTTGTAGTGAAGTGACACTTTTTTTAATTGAAACGTCACTAGAGCCTTGTATGTTTTTGGCTCTATGATATTTTTCTAAAAATTGCCACCAAATATTCTTTTTGTGACATTTTTTAAGAACATGACACTAGTATGGTGTCACTAAAATGTGTTTTTGTTGTAGTGGTCCCATACTCCAATAAATTTAATATGTGATTGTGATTCAAATGATAGTATATAGTGTATTACATTCTTCAAATGTGTGGAAAAATAATATTGATTATTATTCAAATATGTCGAATCTTTTTTTTATCACAAGCATTAACTGTAATAAGAAATGCATATAGCGTGTGATCTTATCTCATTATTAATCATATATTTTATTAGATATTAATTATACTTAAAATATGTGATCTAAATATTTATTATCACAGTTATACATCACGTATAAAAAGTGTGATCTAAATGTTTATTATCATAGGTAAAAAATATGATAAAATCATCTTTTAATGTCACTCAAAACATGTGATTAAAAATTATCATTTTTAATTACACTTCAAAATATTACACTTTGACAAAAAATTAAATAACACATATAAAAAATCTGATCTATTTATGATTTTGTAATAATGAAGGAATCTGAATCATAAATTGATATTTCTAAATAAAAGTATAGAATTTATGAAAGGAAAATGATTGGTGGCCCTAAAAAATTTGCCCCTAATGCCCCTAATTTCCATTTTTAGAAACTGTTTTCTTTTTTTCTTTCCTTTTTCCTTTTTTTTTTTTTTTTTTTTTACCTAAAGTGGAAATTTCGGGGCATTCGAGCCCCGAAATTCGGGCCCTCAAGCAGCGCCGATCAATTGTTATATTTCAATTAACATGGAGCCGACTTAATAAGATAATAGAGTAGGACATACGTTTCCTGGATGCTGAGGTTTTAGGATTAGGAACCATCAAGGAAAGGGACAGAAAGTGTTTTCTGTTTTTTAATGGCTGAGAAGTGCTAGAACGTGAAGTGCCTTTAGGACCAAGTATATGTATATATCTATCTACTCATCTGTACCTGTACTTAAGAGAGTGTGAAAGACGAAGCTTACACTCAACTACTTCGTAGCACAAAGTACCGCGTAGATAAACCAGAAAGATCCATACTAGTATTATTAGTCTATTATCCATTTTTGTATATGTATATATTTATTTGGTTACTATGGCCTATTTTGACATGGTTAAAAGTGAGCTTTTCAGTTTTTTAATTTTGTTGAACCATATTAATTCTTTACCTTTTTTTTTTTACACGTTTTTAAAAGAAAAAATCAAAAAAATTAATTTTTAACTAACTTTTCAAAATAACCCCACTAACACTATTATTAAAATGCGACAACTTGTGATCCACGTTCTCCATGACGTGTGTTGTTGTCCTATGAATCAAATTCCTTCTTGCTTTCATATAATTTATTTTAATTTAAGAGATTGTGTTAGTATATTTGGTATTATTTCATTCATAACTTATTAAGAATAAATAACTTAAATAAGTAGAAAAAAAAATTAAGGGAGAGAATACTTTAATTATCAACTTTTAACTTATAATAAGCTGCATAAAATTGATGACCACAATAACACATTTTAAGTATATTAAAAAGAAATTTGTATAGCAAACTAAAATTTTTATTTTCTATTCTTCATTTAAATTTTATTTTGATACTCAAATGTTTTTATATTTACTCAAAAATGAGTGGACCTCAGCCACACTCACATCGGTGGCCATATGATGGAAATGAGACGACCGAAACACATGCAAACATGCACGGATGCAAATGACCGATCCTAAGGCATGACATGCAACTCTAACTAAGCATGGCAGAGGATGAAGTATGGCATAGAATGACACATGATACAGCTCTGAAACATGATACAAAATGGTCCCGAAACATACAAATATGGTGCACAATGCAAGCTAGGGGGCCCGGGTACCGGAACTGTTTATGTTTGCTTACTATTTTTCCCCCCTTATATAAACATGACATTAATTAGATGAACACAAGTATGAGGAAAAGTAAAATGGTGAAGTATACATAACATTTTTGTAGAGAAAAACTACTTTACACACCTCTTAAAAAGATGCATTCTATATTTTTAGACATTACTATACACTGGAAAGCAAATATCAAATTAAATTTGGTGACTCATATAAATGGGAAAACAAATATCAATTATTTTTTAAATAAATTTTGAAACTTTGAATTTGAGATTGCGGGTAAAGCTGTCTTACTCTCTCTGGTGATAGGTTGGTCGCCACAGGGAACTGGTGGAGTTGGTCTATTCATTCACGACACCGACTTCTCTTGCTCAATGTTGTAGTTTCATCTCACGCGCCTATATTGCAAGTAAACTTGAGCTTTTTCATATGAAAATATTAGAGATCTTAAATTTTTTCTAAAATTTCTATTAGCACATAAGTATGGAGACCTTACATGAGTGTGGATTCCATATCTATATGAATGTTCGGTAGAAAATTTGATAAATTTATTTGTGTAACATTGCTCTTTTCATATCATAAACTAAAAAAAAAAAAAATGCTATTCAATCATTTAATCAAAAATATATACGAAATTATGGATGTACAACTCTTTTATTTTTATTAGTAATTTGCTGGAATTTGGATCGGAGAGTGTTGTTGGTTCCGTGGAGCTCAGCACAGGCTCCGATTTAATGATTTGAATTGCTTATTTTGTAAGCCTCTTCGTGTATATCACGCACACACAAAATTTGGTTGATTCGATAAATTAATCTATACAATTCATCGTATTTGTCTAAAATAAAAATAAAAATAAAAAACGTTGCAGGTGTGTTTTTAAAGATAGACCATTTTTTTTTTTATAATAAACGCAATAAATTAAACATGCTAAGATTATCGAATCGAACAATTTTTGTGTATAGATGATATATGCAAAAGACTCAAAATGAATAATTTAAATCGTCAAAATGAAACTTATGGTGAACCCTACGAGTCAGATAGTCATGTTGGATAGAAAGAAAGCCCAACTTTATTTGTTAGTCATATCAATAAGAAATTAAAATAGCGACAATGCTACGTAACTCAAATTTTGTGGCTCAAAAATGGTTCAAATGGCCAAAACGACGTCGTTTTGAGTACAGAACCACATAAAAATGGCCAAAACGACGTCGTTTTGGCCATTTAAACCACTTTTGAGCCACAAAATTTGAGCTACGCGACATTTTCCTAAAAATAGTTATGTTTGAAACTAAAATTTGTGTTTTACTTTGTTACAACCCTTCAACATTATTAAAATAAAAATTAATATAATTATGTCAAACTTATATATTTTATAAAAAAAAAAAACTCATGAAAATTTTAATTCAGCTTAGATTCTAAAAAAAATTTACAAATAATTGACAAATTTTATAATTATTAATTATTAAAATTATAATCTTTTTCATGTATTTGTATTATTTTTTTGAAAGTACAGTACCAATGTTTACTAATTTTCGTTTAAAAAAAAAGAAAAAAAGAAAAAAGAGAAAGTTCTAGAACTGTCAAACAAATCTAGTACTCGGCCCGCACGACACGACCCTTTCTAGTTTGCCTCTCTCGCTTACTTACGCGGTAGGCAGCCAATACATATCGTTTGCCCTGACGGCTATACACACCACACAAACTATTAATATATATCTCCATTTATATTTACCAAAATACCACTACTTTTCGCTTCCTTACCGCCCAAGAAACGGAGAACAAATCTGTCATTTGACTCATTTAAAATGCCCCTTCATATTCTCCACTAAAACCTATAAATATCAACAAACCCATACTCAAACAACTCACTCATCAACAAGCTTTTCAACATTCACATACACATTGTCAAACACATACAACCCAATAACCTTCACATCTTAATTATGACCATGGCAATTCTGAAAAGAAGCAGAGAAGACACAGAGGTGGAAGCACTGGCCATGGCCAACTGCTTGATGCTCCTCTCCCGTGTCGGAGAGACCACATCGACCAAGGGCCGTGACCGTGTCTTCACCTGCAAGACCTGTAACAGAGAGTTTTCATCGTTCCAAGCTCTCGGTGGCCACAGGGCTAGCCACAAGAAGCTTAGATTAATGGGAGGAGGAGACCTTCATGTTCAGACCCCCAGCTCGCCCGTAAAGGGGAAGACCCACGAGTGCTCGATATGCGGGCTAGAGTTTGCCATGGGGCAAGCGCTCGGGGGTCACATGAGGAGACACAGAGATAGCTCGAGCCCGTCGACAGCACAGGCGGTGATACCGGTTTTGAAGAAGTCGAACAGTAGCAATGGAAGCAAGAGAGTTTTGAGCCTGGATTTGAACTTGACACCATATGAGAATCACATGAAGATTAAGAAATTGCCAACCTGGTTGATTGCTTGAGCACCTTTCTTAGAATGAACACCAGCTTATATTGTAGTTGGGAATTTTTGTACTCAGATATCTTCATTTTTTTTTGTTCATATCAGATTCTTTTGTTCTTTGTATGTGGGATATAGAGATATACTTTATTGTCTACTGTAGTTGGATTGTTGATGTGTATGTATATATATGTGTTATTGGAATTTATGTTTCATCAGTTTTGTTTGGAAGTTTTGGTTTTAGATAGCTCAAATTTGTTAAAGTTGAAAATCTAATTCACAGATCAACCCATATTTATTTCAAATGAGCGATTAAAAGTTGAAAATCTAATTCACAGATCAACCCATATTTATTTCAAATGAGCGATTACACTGTAAAATTAAGATTTTCAATTTTTACAAATTTAGATTCCTTTTATTTTAGCCAAACAACCGTGCTGGGACCCAGTGGGGCGACCCCAGCAACCCCCCGGCGCCACTTGTCTTGCTGTGAGAGCAAGACTTAAAAAAAAAAAAATTTAGACCAATCAAAAATCAATAGGGGTGGTGGGGGTCACCGCCAGGCAATTTCCTTAGCCAAAATAGGCACTAGATTTTTATTTTGGGTTAATTGCAATCAATCGGAACAAGTTGAACAAGTGGGCAATACATTTCCCATCTGAGAGAGAGAGAATAACAATACGTTGATCAAAATTGAAATTCAATTTTGTCTCAAGGAGACAAAAAGGAGAGCATCAGAAGCTCTTTTTTGTTTTTTTTTACTTCATTTTTATTCGGGGGTCCATAAAGAAAAATCTAGAAGCTAATACTACTAACAGATGAGAAACTAACTATAGGAGATCAACCCAAATTGAGTTGGCAGCCACATGGAAGGGTGGCCAACCCACATGGTAAAAGGAAGGCAAAAGAGGTTGGCATGAGTTGGCAAGCCATGAGGCTTGAGTTGGCAGCCATGAGGCTTGCCATGCGCCAGCAACAAAGGAGACTGGTGTGCCCAAGATCCGCAACACTAACACCGTACCAAATCAGAAGGAATACGAGAATTGCCGACATAAACAAGAGGCTGCCTGCCCACTGCAATCAGTGAAAAATTATTCAATAATGCTTTCCATGTGGAAAATTGAATTTGTTCAAACAATAATACACAAAATATGATTGTTTTAAATATATGATTTATATATATTTAAAGTATACTGATATCACTTAAAATGATAGGTTCAATTAATCTTTACCAATCAAAATGTGTGTATTAATTATGATAAGTCATTGGGTAGTCTTGAACATGATTATGTAGTGGTAATTAGGGGTGAGGCCCATGATTTTGTATTGTGTCATGAGGAATAGTCAAGACATGGTATTTGGGACATAGTGATTGATGAGAGGCATTGCCAAGTAATACTTCTGAATCACTCAATAATTTTTTTATTGATTACACACTTGAGTCTGAACAAAATTAGATTCCTTCATCTAATATTGTTTATATTGTACGTTTGGTCAAAGTGAAGTGTTATCGTGTACATTTCCTGTTTTTATTTTTGTTTTGGAGAACATGTACATCCCTGTTTAGATGCACATGGTATACGTTTTTTTTATTTTTATTTTTTGACCAGAAACTCCCAAGGTTGGATCCATTTGTGACCCGACCCTACAAGCTAACCTAGGAGAGATGTCGGAGAACTCACTCATCACCCCCCAATTTCAGTTAAGGGCTATAAGGAGGTTGTTATAAGTTTCAAACCCGAGACATTCGGTCATAAAGGCCGTTGCCTTACCAACTCATTTATGATTGAATGACACAAACTTAATCTAGACCCATAATGGAGTGATAAACTACATTTGTCAATTGATATATTAATTAGTGTACTAACATAGTTATAATATTATCATTTTAAAACTGTGATCTACTCATTATACAAATTATAAAAGTACAATGTTTCTAAAATTATGCTAGATCATCCGTTAGTACATATAACATTATTTAATAAACTTAGAAAATACACATTAATATATATAAATTGGCCATTGTTTGTTTTATAAACATGAAAAACAAACCAGCATTAATATTGTCAATCCCAAACTAATTAATACCCCTACAAACAAACAAAAGTGAGGATTTTAATATGGATTTTTAGTGTTCTAAAGGTACTTGTTAAGAATATATTAAATGAGTATTAATTTTTTCCACTATTATAAAAGGTAAATAAATATTAAATGTATATTATTAAAGAATACTTGTTTTATAGTTAGACCAAAATGCCCTTTTAACATTTCTCTACATTTCTTTATCTATTTTTTAGTTGACAATTTAATTTTGTTAACTTTTTTTAATTAATAACTTATTAAATCATATGAACAAGACTTTTTCAATAGCTATACAATGAAAAATTATGTGATGATTTATTTAACCAAACAAGTTCAACTTTTTTACATATTATTAAAGTTACACTAAATAAATTTATAACTTATTTATAAAAAAAATTAAACTAATAATCTTTACAAAAATTTTAATTTTTTATTTATAAATTTCACCAAATGAGCTCATTATAAAGTCTCATTATCTGAAACTATTATACATTATCTATGTCAAAATATATATATATATATATATATTGTTGCATTTCATTAATATTTGAAAATAATATGAAATGTAACATGTGTGGAAAATGAAAATGTCTAGAAAAAAAAGGGAAAACTACCAATAAATCCCATAAGTTGATCTTATGATCCATTTGGTCCCAATTTTAATCTAATGTCCCGTTTGGTCCTGTGTTGCGTGAAAGGACATATTTGCCACAGTGTTTAATGTTTTCGTTGTTGGCGGATGTAAATGGCTGTGTTGTTGCCGCGTGGGGCAACGCGGTTTGCAAAGTGTGGGAAGATGATTGAGTTGTGTCACCTGACACATAATAGCGTGTCACAAATTGGCAAAGCGTACTAAGGGGTTTTATAATGGTAGTAGAGTTTTTGGTAGTGATGTATGTCACACATTCAGGTTTGCCCACATAACCGAACTACAACCCGTTTCATACATCCACATCCCCACATGTATAAAATGCTAACCCGTTTCGTATTTCCCACAATGAAGAAACCCCAATATAGCGATTTCGTGTATTTGGTAGATTTCGATTGACAGTATATTTCGTTGCGTGATTCGGGGGAGGGAGGAGCGATACTGAAGCTTGGTTGCAGCGTTACGTTGATTTAAGATTTGTGTGACATTGTCGGGCGTTCAACGTTTCGGAACCCTATTCTCAGTTTTCTGTGTTCATTGAGTTGTCAGACGTCTGCAATGGCCGAACAAGGTATGTCACCTAACATTGGTTTTGAAATATTTGTGTGGGGTAATGTCTTACTTTGGTATTTGGTGTTTTCGTTCGGATTACCGGTGTGGTCGGTCGTGGTTATGTTCAATCGAGCAATTTTTTTTGGGTGTGTGTTTTGTTTTAGGGGCATTTGCGATGTGGATGTTGGGCGTGTGGTTTTGGGTGTGTGGTGGGACAGTATGGTTGTGTGTTTTGTTTTTATGCGTAGTTGGTTTGTGGGTTGTGCTTGTGATGATGTGTGTTTTTGGATGGTTGTGTGACTGACAGTTGTGGTCAATGTAGTGGTATATATTGTATGACAATAGTTGGGACCACAGGAAAAGATATAATTTTTTAATGATTTGTCCTGCATATGTGGAGGTGGGATCCTTACTTTTTTTTGGTGCTGCAGAAAGTAAATGGGATATGTTGTGGTTCTGGTACGCAGGTGTGGATTGTGTGAATTTGTGCATTTTCTTTCTGGTTTTGGAATTAGGTTTGGGTAGTTGGTTGGTTTTGTGTTTTTTTGTTATTGTGTGTCTTGGTTGTTGTGTGGATGTGGGTTTGTGTGTTGGTAAACTGGACAGCATTTGAATGTGGTACATGGGTGAGTTGGTATTTGGTTTTGTGAGTTGGTATGTTGTTGAGTCTAAATGGTTGTGTGGCATGTATGTGATTTGAAATGCATGGTAAATGTGTTTGTGGTTTTGTCTTGCAGATGGCGATAGGGTAAGGAGTCCGTGGACACGTTCATGTGAACGTAAACGTGTTGAGGGGCAAACGGGGTCACATGCAAACAACCTTGGAGTGAAAATGCAGGGGCGAATCCTATACCACAGGAAAAGGTATACTTTTTTAATGATTTGTCCTGCATATGTGGAGGTGGGATCCTTACTTTTTTTTGGTGCTGCAGAAAGTAAATGGGATATGTTGTGGTTCTGGTACGTAGGTGTGGATTGTGTGAATTTGTGCATTTTCTTTCTGGTTTTGGAATTAGGTTTGGGTAGTTGGTTGGTTTTGTGTTTTTTGTTATTGTGTGTCTTGGTTGTTGTGTGGATGTGGGTTTGTGTGTTGGTAAACTGGACAACATTTGAATGTGGTACATAGGTGAGTTGGTATTTGGTTTTGTGAGTTGGTATGTTGTTGAGTCTAAATGGTTGTGTGGCATGTATGTGATTTGAAATGCATGGTAAATGTGTTTGTGGTTTTGTCTTGCAGATGGTGATAGGGTAAGGAGTCTGTGGACACGTTCATGTGAACGTAAACGTGTTGAGGGGCAAACTGGGTCAAATGCAAACAACCTTGGAGTGAAAATGCAGGGGCGAATCCTATTCAAGCAAGCTAAAATAAGAAAAGGTGAAGATGCGCGGTCTGTGGGTAAGCTTGTAACGAGGTGCCAGCCTAAACACAACACGATGATGAACTTCCGTTCAAACATTGCAGGGATAGTGAAACTTGTGAGTTTGGCAAACCTGCAGGAGGGACACTTGAATCAGTTGAGAAGAACACCATTCTGGGTTATGATAAAGGCGATACACGTCAACAAGTTGATCCATAACGAATTCCGAAAGTGTGATGAGTTAATATGCAAAATTATAAAGGCATACAATGAGCGGGAGAATGCATTCAGCATTGGAGGTTCAATGGTGAAACTTGGTAGCAGTGACATTAGGTTAATCTTCGGATTACAATGTGGGAAGAGGCGCATGGACTTGTCACCTGGACAAAGACCAGCATCGGACTTCATTCAACGTAGGTGTTCTGAAACTTCACGCATAACATCGAAACTAGTGAAGACGTTATTTTTAGAGGCTGTTAGTGGTCATAGCAAACAAGATGAGGAAGACGCTGCGAAACTATTAGCGCTGTACATTTGTGGGAAGCTTTTTTTCGCCAACTCTGGGGAGACAATAAGTTGGACATTTGTTCGGTACTTGAACAATCTGAATACCGTACGGATGTATGACTGGACAGGCGCAATCTTGTCAACGTTGATGGGGTCAGTCAACGATTTTCATAAAACGCCGGGGAAGGTGACCAGTTGCGTGGTTGCGTTGCTGGTAAGTTTGTGTTTGAATGTTTTGTGGTTATTGTCTTGTATGTGTGGTTGGGTTTATTTGCATGTTTGATTGGATTATTGAATTTTGTGATGTGTGTATCGCAGTATTGGTTGTGTGAACATTCTACAATAGTGGAGCCTGACACCAAAAACATGTTTCCATGGTTCCTTAAATGGGGCATTGGAACACTGCTGAATAAAGCGCAAGGGGTAGAATTTGCTGGTGCTGTAACGTTCCAGGTATACACGACGTTGGTTCCCAATATGGTTGTTGTGGAACTTTGTCAGTTGTAGTCTGATAATGACCTTTGTAATTTTAAAATGTCATTGTGTTTTTCTGTGTGAACAGGTGAAGACTGATCGTCTGAGGTCTCTTGAGTATGAACGGGAAATGATGGGATTGGATGTCGAAGCGGCTGACAGAGATGTGGCCGACGTTGTTGACATTGGCGCAAACAATGTTGGCAGTGAAGATGATTTTGTTGACAGAGTTAATGTAATGAAAGAGATAGTTGATGTTGGAATGCGGGGTGGGAGTGTTGAGGCACGTGGGAAAAACAAAATTGGAAAGAGTCATGTGGGTAATGTGCGTGATCATTCAGTGGGTGTGTTCGGCGCTGGGCTGGATGTACAGCGTGAATTGATTAGTGCATATGAAAATTACACGCAGATAGATTCTAAACTAGAAGAAGCGTTTACTGCAATCACAACACTTCAGCTGCAGAACAAAAACCAGGACAATATGATATCACTCCTTGAAGAAGAGATTACTAAGTTGAAGAGTAAGAGCGACTTGCAGGCTGTGAACATAGTTGGCGGTTTTGGGTGTGTTTTGAAGATGAAAGATGAGGAGTTTGAAAAGTTGAGGAAGAAGAATGGGGAAATGCAGAAAAGAATTTCATTACTGGAAGACCAACTGGAGGACCGTGACGTGCATGTTGTCACGCAAGCATTTCGTGACGTTGGAGATAAGCAAGTTGCTGGTGGAAGTGGCACGGGGTGCAGTGGGTATGGTGGGTCATTTTTGTGTGATGTGTCATCGTTACGAGCAGTCAATGATTGTGCATGGCAGGCAGGCAATGAACCGAATGAGGTGGAGGTGCATGATCCAATGGATGTCCAGTAGTGTGATGCAGAAGTAGAAGTGTTGCCATATGTGGGTGAAGGAGTACTGTGGTTGGGCGGGCTAAATTCGTTGGTACGTAACATTAAAGGCAAAGTGAGAAAGGAGCGAAAGTTGGCAGACTATGAGTACCCGTTGTTAGGGGTTCGTGATAGAAGGATGTGATCAGAAAGTGATAATGTTGGGGAGAGAAGAACTGTGTGAGTGGTAATGCCGTTATAGATGTGGATGCAGTTGAGGTGGCAGGGAAAAAATGGTCGGGATTTGATATCAACAACAGGTTAAGGGTGTGGAAGATGATGACATTTGAAGAGAAGACGAAGATCAAACAAGCGTATGATCGTAATGGCGACGGGTAAGGTTTTTTTTATTGTTTCTCTTTTGTTATTCTGTTGCTGTGTGTGCATCACCCTTCTGTATGGATTTTAAAAACATATTGTTTGTAGGGCTATTGTGTGGGTAGACGATTCTACCGGCGTGACAGTAGACTTTACAGATTTGAAGGGACTGGTTAGACAAAGCAGTGTACGAGGCAATGTACGTTCAATTTTATCTTTAATGAGTTATACTTAGCGTTTTTTAGTTGTAGTGTATGAATGTAGCAAATGGTGGCAGCATGCGATGTGGTGGTGTTTTTGTTTTTTTTATTTTTTTGAGGCGCAGTTGTTATGTGCAACGCAGGTGATTGATGCATATACGGAGCTGTTGAAAACTAATCAGCTGAAGGTGTTTGGAAATGATGATTAGGTAGACAAATCATATTTTTTCACTAGTGTTTGCCTGGTGAGTTGTTGTGGGTGGGTGGTAAGTGATTATGTTGTGGTTATTTATAACGTGGTGTGGTTGTTGTATGTGTGCAGGATATGGTGAAAAGCGTAGATGTGGAAGGCTTGATAAGTTTGTGCGGAAATATTTCTGCCGGTACCATGTGTCGGTTCATTCATTTCCCGATGTGCCATAATGGACATTGGACACTTGTCGTATACGATACTGAGAGCGGTGAGTGGAAGCATTACAATCCGATGCGGCAGCGTATGGACAGGGTAGACGTGCATTACACAGAAGCGCTTTTGTTGGTAAGTTGATAAGTAAGGTTTGTTGATGTGTGGGTGGGACTTATGTGTTCACTATTGTATGTTTTTTGCATGTGTGGCAGAAGGAACGGGTGACGAACGTCATGAAACAGTCGCTGCTTGAGTTGGGAATGGATGTTCTTAGCATCAAGTCTGATTTTGATCATGTGCTAGAGGCTGTGAGTAGGTGCCCACAGCAAAAAGCAGAATCCTAAGTGTGGTAGTTATGAAAGTGGTGACCTATTGTGTGGGTGAGTAGTGTTGTGTACTTCGCATAGTTTTATTGATTTAACGTAAATGTTGTTCAATGCAGGCTTGACTGTGGGATAATTGTGTGTACCATAATGCGACAGTACGTGCACCATTGCAATGTGGAACGGACACTGCAAGGTTCCAACTGCAGCGTGTTGCGTGCAAATATGGTGAAGTCTTTCGTCAATGATCCGGTGCGGGGGTTGATATAGTATACATGTCTGGTGGTGCTTGTTTTGGGCTGATGGCATTATCATTAAATTAGATATATTTTTGCGAAATGTGCATATGACAATTTTTTGTTAGAAAGGTTGTTATTCCCGTGTAGTTATTTAGGTTTGAAACATACTTTTAGTAGTTTTTGGTGTTGGTTTTTGCAGTTGTTCAACGTATGTTTTTTGGTGTTGACATACAGTCGGTGTCCAGTACTTGTCACGGGTTTTGAATGAAATTAGTTTTGGTTGGACAAATAATTTTGTGTGTTTATTGCTGTGTATGTATGTTGGCGGTTATTATTATGTACATGATACTTGGGAAAAAATGTCGATGAATGTAGCCACGTTTCTTTGGAAACGTAGCGATATTAGTATGTGCAGTTTGACTGTGTTGAGTTGTGGTTACTGTGTGACTGCTTTTAGGTGGCGTAACTCATGTATGTTGTGATCTTGTATTTATGACCGTACAATATGAAAAGGACAGGGTATTATTGGGCAGGTCGGATTTATTGAGTGTGCGTTTATTTGTCGATGTTAAGTGGATTGATTGGTATAATGTGGTTTTGAAATGTGAATGTAACATTATAATGTTGCGAATCAATTAGCCGTCAAATTGTACAACGTAATAACAGGATAATATTAAGGTTCGTACGTTGCATGTTACGTATCTTAAAAAAAACAACAGAAAATGTTGTCGAAGCTGAAAACATTCTGAAAATGTAGCCACGTTTGTTTGGAAACGTAGCGATATTAGTACGTGCAGTTTGACTGTGTGGAGTTGTGGTTACTGTGTGACTGCTTTTAGGTGGCGTAAGTCATGTATGTTGTGATCTTGTATCTATGATGGTATAATAAGAAAAGGACAGGGTATTATTGGGCAGGTCAGTTTTATTGGGTGCGCGTTTATTTGTCGATGTTAGGTGTGCTGATTGTGTTAATGTGGTTTTGAAATGCGAATGTAACATTATAATGTTGCGATTCAATTAGCCAACAACTTGTGAAACGTAATAACAGGATAATAATAAGGTTTATGCGTTGCATGTTACGTATCTTAAAAAAACAACAGAAAATGTTGGTCAAAGTTGAAAACATTCTGAAAACATCAAAAGTGTTACGGGTCATAGTGTGTGACAAACCCGATTATTCTCATTAAAAACATAAAGACTATAAAAATGTTGTATTTGAAAATATATGTGGCTGCATGTAATGCTAAATTGGTTCTTTGCACGTCTTTCTGTTGTGGTTACCCAAACGTTGGCAACGGCTGCATCTAATCTGTTGAACTTCTTCCCCCCTTGAAAGCATTCGTTTTTTTCTGGGCCTTCTCGGTGGTCGTTTGACAGCTGGTGGTTGTATGATGTAATCTTCAATGCTGAATGGTGGTTTCTCAACCGTGGGTATGGTGTATGTTGCAAGCGTAAGAATTCCGGTACTTCGACACATGGTAATACGAATCGACTAAATCATAAAGGTCGAGTCCGCTGTTTCCAATAGCAACAACAGTGTGAGCACAAGGGAACCCTTTGATTTGCCAGTGGAAACATGAGCATGTACGCCTTCCCACATCAACCATTACTGATGGAAAAGAGTGGACCTCGAAAATCTCATTGTTGGACTGACTTAGAAGCCATGATCTGCCTTTATTGTATGCTTTAACTAACCGATCTTCCATCTTCGGGCAAACAACACCAGGCCACGATTGCACTTTGAGTCGGCGTTTGGACATCTGTCGTATAATCTTGGTCTGAATACTGTCAACCAATTGAGTGATTGGGAGGTGGCGTGCTTCCCGTATCCATGAGTTGAATGACTCGACGGCATTAGAACTCATTTCGCCGTAACGCGCACCGCTGGTGGGATAGATACAGTGACTTTGTTGGACAGAAATATACAAGGTGGCATTGTGAGCATGACACAATATAAATTTGGTAAAATTAAAAGTGGTAACTGTGTATCGGAAATGCGCATTTGCCCAGTACTGTGGCGGTAAATCTTTTAAGAAAGCTGGTGCCACCTTGGGACTAGCCTTCATGAACTCCTCCAATTTCTCGTTAAATGCAACAACTGTTGGTGCATACGCACAAGATCGAAATTTTGACAACAAACACGCTCGGTATGAACTGTTGACGTAGCGTAATTTGTCTTGCAAGTTACGTTGCAAATGTTCTAAGCAAAATGCGTGATGTGCGGTGGGAAATATGGCTGGGATTGATTCCAGCAGGCCTGCGTGTCGGTTGGACAAAAATGTTAGTTCTCTTTGGCCGTTTACAACGTTTGCGAGGTGTCCCAAAAACCAAGCCCAATTTGTAGTGTTTTCGGAATCAACAATGGCTATGGTTAAAGGGAATAGACCTGCATGCAATTAATTTGTCAAAAGGTCAGCCGAGTATTTTCTTGTAGAATAATGTGTACATTAATGTAAACAGACATGATCGAATGTGGCAAAACATGTTGCGTATGGTCACACAAAAACATCATACCTTGGTTGCCATCTTTCGCTGTGGCGGCTAGCAAGTTCCCCTTAAATTTCTCCTTCAGAAATGTCCCATCCAAAAAAAGCATTGGTCGGTAATAGGCGAAACCATCAATACATGCTTTGAATGATATGAAATATCTTGAGAAATGGTTGTGTTGTTCGTCGTACTCAATGTTGATATAACTGCCTGGGTTGTTAGTCATAACTGCATCGCTGTACCAACGTAATTGGTCAAACGAGATTGAGTGTGTACCGAACATTTCACCACGGGCTTTTTCGACACCTAACCAGGCAACCCGATAGCTAACCTCCAAACCGTAATCTTTTTTCAAGTCGTACACAACATCAGTGGGACGTGTGAGGGGTTTGTCACGCACCCGTTCAGAAATGACATCAGACACTAAGTCAGAACCAACCCTTGGGTTTTTGGGTGTCCGAACGGAAACACCACAGGTGTGCAAGCCATTCCACTTACGTACGTAAAAAAAACCATTGGCATGTAAAACACGTGCGTGTACGGACCACATACATCCCTTCGATTCGCGCATCATGCATATTGCTGTAATCCGAATAGAATCATTCTTAATATATTTGAAGCGAAATCCGCACTCCACCGCATACTTGCGAAGAACCGTTCGAAATTCAGCAGCTCCCCCTTCAAAACTTTAACCAACATTTCGAATTTCGTTCGCCCATAGAGCAGACAAAAAAACCTTATCGATGTGGGGACAATATTTGTCCAAACAATCTTGTTCGTCATCCATATCCGACTCGTCAGACAACACATCCGACAGACATGGACCAATGTGTACATTATTTTTGGGATAGTGAACATTTTCTGAATATCCCGCACGTGGTACCTCAATGATAACATCAATGCATTGCAACCGGAAAGATCGAGCAAGAGAGATCATGTTCTGCATATCGACATCATTCTGTAATGTGAAGTTATTGTAACCTGGCATTTTGAAGAAATAACACAGATTGGCAGGTGTGAGTCCGGAGAATTTTTCGCAAACATGATTCACCAAGTCCTGAAATCGGAATGGGGCTTCCAAATTGACAACGACATTTGTATTATCGTAACAACATATCAACATTACATGTGTATCCATCGGCTGTAACAGAACACAAGTCCACGCATTCAGAATATGAAATTCAATACGCAGATAAAGTCACACAACCTCACCTCAGAAATTAATAATAGTGCCACTACAAAAAACACAGATTCAGATACACATACAGGAAACACCCATACGAAATTAGCACCATCCCAGTCCCCATAACCCACATCCCAGTGAATATACAAACATTGTAAACACATCCACACAAAGACAAACCACCACACAAACGAAACCCACTATCCTATCTCCCCTCCGGCTAATGCATCACCACAAACACCCACATTGACCATACCGCACTAACACCAATTCATACACATGCCCAACACGTTATGTAACATGACGTCAACGTACTGGTGCAATCTAGTCCACAAAACAAATCAACAAAACGCGTAAATCAACATCGCAAAAAAAGCATGCCATACCTGCAAACCAACTGACATTGTCGAGGTCTGAAGTGCTGCATATGCCATCGAAACACACAGGCGTCACAGCACCAACACTACGACGGCGCACCACAAACCCTATCAAATAAGTGGCTGACCCATCCTTTGAAGCAATATTCAACTTACCAAATATGGTGTAACATTCCCAAAAAGAAACGTCTGCCCATGAAACACGTCCCACTGAACAAATTGAGGGCACAATCGTCACAAATGAATACAAAAAATGGAAAAAATGATCAAATGGAACATATCTGTCTAGTAATAAGACTTATTGGTTCAACAGTTTAAATTGGGGATTGATTGGTATAATTGTTTGTGAGGTAGGATTTATTGGTAAATATTTCGAAAAAAAATGGAGAAATTAATGAAACATCCCTTGTTAACTTTATGTAGTAGAAGAGGTCCAAGATATTTTTTTTTATTAATTATGGTCCCTCAACATTTTCACAGAGAAAATTCGGCTCAGAGAAATTTTTCCCAACTCAAAGGAATTTCACCAAACTTAGACAAATTTCGACCCCAACTCAAAGAAATTTTAAAATTTCTCTGGTATGATTATAGAAAAATTTTGAAATTTCTCTATGAAATCAAAGAAATTTCTCTTAGTCGGGACAAAATTTCTCTGAGTCAAATTTTCTCTGTAGAAATGTTGAGGGACCTTAACTACTATGAAAGTATTGTATGTCCTTTATTTTATAAAATTTTAATATCAGATATCTTAAAACAAATTCTAAAAAAAATTAGAGAAATGTCAAAAAGGATATTTTGGTCTAATTATAAAAGAAGCATTCTATAATAGTATATATTTAATGTTTTTTCTACCTTCTAAAGGGGTTGGCCTAGTGAGTGCAATTTGAGATTAGAGATGTACTCCCTCTAGATATCAAGTTCAACTCTCATTAGGAGCAATTTGCACCTTGGGGCCGTGCTCCGTAAGCTCTGCTTGAGATTTGCCTGACCCACGTGGAATGGGCGCTTTGCGTGAATTTCAAAATTAGTCGAGTTGTATATAAACTGATTCAGACACCTGATTATAAAAAATAAAAATAAAAAAAATATATATATATATACTCATTTAATGCCATGCTTAAACAAAACCCTTTCAATAGTTAGAGAGGGGGAAGACTCAGAAAGTAGGATATATAAAGCTCGTTTCTTCTGTTGAAAAAAATTCAGTCATAAAAAATAAAATTTGACCACGTGGAAAAATGAGATGAATTATTCAGCCATAAAAATTAAAATAAATAAATAAAAGATTTTGTCATAGAAAAGTGGGAGTCACTCTCTCAAAATGTGTTGGTCATATTCTAAAATGCACAAATCACATATATATATATATATATATTTTAATTTTGTAAAACATAAATATTAGTGCTTAACAGATCTAACACACTTAGGCCCTGTTTGTTTCACTGGATATAAAATGGAGGATATAATACGATGTGGGATTTAGTCAGGATATATAATGAATAGAATATAAGTATTGGATAATATATCACCCAATTCATATTTGTCGACTTGATATATAAGATTGGATATATATTATCTATGTTTGTTTTACAAAATATATTGTGGCATATAAACAAGTAATTTCCAAGATTGCCCTCATACTATTATATTATATTAAATTCAAAATTTATATTAAATAATATTATATTATATTATATTAAATTCAAAATTTATATTAAATAATATTATATTATATTAAATTCAATATTATATTATGGGCAAAACACCAATAAATCCTAAATTAGTAAATGTTAAACCATTTAGTCTTGAGTTTTTTTTGTAACACTAATAGATCCCATTCCAATGTTAAAGACGTTAAAGCCCATGCTTTGTGGAATACATGTCCTGAAGTAAGGGGTAAATAACGGGCATTATTTGTTGTTGAATTTACCAAAGAGGCCAACATCAAAACGGTATGTCAATCTACTGTGAGCGAATATGGGAAGTAATTTCTGGAGTGGGATCGTGATTCCGATGTTCCAGCGATTTCGAATCCGTGATCACGGAGACTGTTTGTTAGGATTGGTGTTGTTGATGTGATTTCCTAAATTAAAGTTCCATTGTCGAGTAAAACCCTAGTTGAAACCATCAAGCGTGGGAATACGGTGTTGGGAGCGTCAGAGTTGGGTCTAAACATCGTGAACAACAGTAATTGGCGTAGAATAAGACACTAATAGAACATTGGAGCCAGTAATCGCTGCGGGAAGAAATGGCGGCAGGTATGTAATTTCTGGTCTGATGGTATGTGCATGTAATTTCTGGTCTACTGGATTGGCGTAGTTGTGTGTTTTTTAATGTTTGTGGTGGAGTCCTGATTTTGGGTGTGTTGGTGTTGAAGGTGGGAGAAGGTGGGGATTGATTTTGATGTCTATGTCAATGTTAAGTTAGTCGAATTGGTGTTTGGAAAGTCCTTTTTTTTTTTCTTTTTTGGCCGATGGTGAAATGGCAATGTTGTAGGTGGGGCATTGTTTTGGGTTGGGTGAACATTGCATGCGTCGATGTACTTATTGTTTACTATTAAGCTGTGGTTAGCAGATTCAGTTGTGCTTGGTAATACGTCAATGGTCATTGTGGTGTTGTTCACATGTAAATGTTAATTTACTGGAAGGGGTTTGGTGAAATTGATAATTTGCGTTGTTTGAGGATATTGAAGTGTCCAATGTCAACGTTCGACAAGTGTGTTTGGGTGGGGAAACATTGTGTTAGTATTCCACTCCCAATAGGGTCTAAACATCTTGTGTGTTTACTATGTTGCTAGTAAAAATTTAAGATTCTTAATTTTCGCAACATGTAAAATGAAGCCAAGTTAAACAATAGATAAGCAACAAATTATTGACAAATTACCTAATCAACCATTGTAGCAAACAAAGCCACACCAAGATTTCAGTTACATCTCTCAGCACAGGTGATTCTGTGGTTGAAAATAAAAAGAGCCCTCCAAA